TGCCCCATAAGGTTGTCTCCAGCACAGAAGTTCTCCCAACGTAAACACAGCTGATTCTCACAGCCAATTGGCCTGGAGGTCAATTCCTCCCAGTGATATCTACAACAATCAAGGCTTAACTACAACAAGACTGTGCACAAAGCCCACAAAGGGGTGCACCAAGAGTGTCCATCTCAGGTAATTGGGGAGGCTGAGCCACTGGGCCCTATAGGACACCTAGCACAGGAAGCCACTCTATCAACACAGGGAAGCAGCCAAAATGCGGAGACAAAGAAACAGGTCACAAATGACAGAAATGGAGGAAAGCAAACTACTGGATAGAGAGTTGAAAACCACAGTTATATGGTTTTTCAAGAATTTTCTAGAAACCACCAATAAATTTAGTGAGACCCTCGATAAATCTAGTGAGACCCTCGAGGTTATGAAAAAGGACCAACTAGAAATTAAGCATATACTGACTGAAATAAAGGATATTATGCAGAGTTCCAACAGCAGACTAGAGGATCTCAAGAATCAAGTCAAAGATTTGAAATACGAACAAGCAAAAAACACCCAACCGGAAAAACAAAAAGAAAAAAGAATCCAAAAATATGAAGATAGTGAAAGGAGCCTCTGGGAGAACTTCAAGCATACCAACATCTGAATTATGGGGGTGCCAGAAGTAGAGAGAGAGCAAGATATTGAAAACCTATTTGAAGAAATCATGATAGAAAACTTCCCTTACCTGGTGAAAGAAATAGACTTACAAGTCCAGGAAGCGCAGAGAACTCCAAACAAAAAGAATCCAAAGAGAACCATACCAAGACACATCATAATTCAAATGCCAAGAGCAAAAGACAAAGAGAGAATCTTAAAAGCAGCAAGAGAAAAACAGTCAGTTACCTACAAGGGAGTACTCATAAGATTGTCAGCTGATTTCTCAATAGAAACTATGCAGGCCAGAAGGGAATGGCAAGAAATATGCAAAGTGATGAATAGCATGAACCTACAACCAAGATTACTTTACCCAGCAAAGCTATCATTCAGAATTGAAGGTCAGATAAAGAGCTTCACAGATTAGAAAAAGCTAAAGGAGTTCATCACCACCAAACCAGTATTATATGAAATGCTGAAAGGTATCCTTTAAGAAGAGTAAGAAGAAGAAAAAGGTAAAGATAGAAATTATGGACAACAAATACACATCTATCAACAAGTGGATCTAAAAATCAAGTGAATAAATAATCTGATGAACAGAATAAACTGGTGAATATAATAGAATCAGGGGCATAGAAAGGGTGTGGACTGACAATTCTCGGTGGGAAAGGGGTGTGGGGGGTGCGGGAAGAGACTGGAAAAAATCGTACACCTATGGATGAGGACAGTGGTGGGGGGTAAGGGCAGAGGGTGGGGTGGGACCGGGATGGAGGGGAGCTATGGGGGGAAAAAGAGGAACAACTGTAATAATCTGAACAATAAAGATTTAATTTAAAAAAAAAAAGAAATGCCTTTGGAGGTTTGGCACACTAACTTTTTGTTGTTGTTGTTAATCCTCACCCGAGGATATTTTTTCATTGATTTTTTGGGGAGAGTGGACAAGAGAAGGAAAGACAGAGAGAAACATTGATATGAGAGAAACACATTGATTGTCTCCTGCAGGTGCCCTGACCAGGGCCGGGGTTCAGGGAGGAGCCTGCAACCAAGGTACGTGTCCTCGACAGGAATCGAACCTGGGACCCTTTGGTCTGCAGGCCGACACTCCATTCACTGAGCCAAACTGGCTAGGGCTGGCACACTAACAAGATTTGGTCTCTGGCCATGAATGGGGATATGTACTCTCCTTACATTTCTGTAAATGTTCTTTTTTTAAAATAATTAGGACCACTTAATTATCAGTTTCTTTGAGATTTGTCCAAAATAACTAAAAATTATCAGTATGTTTTCTATATTGTTAATAGTTAAGAAAGAAATGTAGAAAAAGAGAAATGAAATATACAGGCAATTATTCACACAGGAGCCCTTCAGTCCACAGGTGGACGCTTTATCCATTGAACCAAACTGGCTAGGACATATAAATATAAATTGTTTATCTCATATTACTATTGCTACATTACCTTTCCTTTGTTTAGTATATGTCTGGTATATCCTTAGTCATTCATTTATATTCAAATTTTTATATAAATCTGCTGATGCGTGTCTTTTACATGCAGCATATAAATAGGTTAATTTTTAACGCTCATCTTTGAAAGCTTAACATGTTTACATTTATTTAAATTATTAATGTATTTGGAATTATTTTGGTCATGTTATTTTGTATTTTAAATATAGTTTTTTTTCTCTGCTCCCCCCCCTTTTTCTGCCTTCTACTGTCCCTATAAAATTATCATAATTCTCCTTGTTTTCATGTTGCTTTGGAAGTTATACCTTCTATGTCTGTTCTTTCAGCATGCTGTTATAATTTTAACTTTCACGTCTATATTTACTAAGTCTATAGTTCATCTTCCCACCCATTTTATTTTAAATTGTATTTTATTTTCACTTTGTTTCAAATCCCAAGAAACTATTTATTACCCTAGTTGTTAATTTTACTGCCTGTTTTTATTTATATTTACCAATATTTTATGAAATTCTTTCCCCCCCCATGTATCCATTTTTATTAAAATATATATTTTTAATTTAAGGATAGATGGTATACAATCTTACATTGGTTGTATTAATTTCAGGTGTACAGCATAGTGACTTGATATGGGCCGCTTAAGCTCCACCCCCGTCTGCAACCCTGGGTGGAGGGGCTTGGTGGAGTGAATGTGCCGCCTAAGCCCCGCCCCCAGCCAGGACCTCCATGTGCAGCCCTGGGCGGGCAGGACCCCTGTCTGCGGCCCCGCCCCCACCTGTGACCCCTGTGTGCAGCCCTGGGCGGAAGGGACCCCCGTCTGCGGGCCTGGTCGGAGGGGCTTGGCAGCGCGATCGGACCGAGGAAGCCCTATTCTTGCAGGAATCCTCCTGCAACGGGCTTCTAGTCCTATATGATAAAAGCCTAATATGCTAAGTGTCCGACAGTTCAACCAGTCACTGTGATGTGTACTGACCACCAGGGGGCAGACGCTCTGACCAGTAGGTTAGCTTGCTGCTGGGGTCCGACCAATCGGGACTGGGCGAGATGGGCTGGACACACCCTGGAGCCCTCTGGTGGTCCCTCCCTGGCCCCGATCATGCACCAGTGGGGTCACTCGGCCTGGTCTGTGCCCTCTCACAATCCAGGACCCCTCTGTGGATGTCGCAGAGCCAGTTTCAGCCCGATCCCCACAGGCCAGGCTGAGGGAACCCACCAGTGCACGAATCTGTGCACTGGGCCACTAGTAGGTTATAAGAAGCCTCCCTTTAAGCAGTTTCACACTCACCTTTGTCAAGACCTTAGTTAGTCATTTCATTTTTGTATCAGACAGAGTGATAATTCATTTCTTTTTATATATATGTTATGATTGATTTTTACAGAGAGGAAGGGAGAGGGATAGAGAGTTAGAAACATCGATGAGAGAGAAACATCGATTCAGCTGCCTCCTGCACACTCCCTACTGGGGATGTGCCCGCAACCAAGGTACATGCCCTTGACCGGAATCGAACCTGGGACCCTTGAGTCCGCAGGCCGACGCTCTATCCACTGAGCCAAACCCGGTTAGGGCTAGTGTTAATTCTTTAGCACAGTTTCTTCACCATTTCAGTCATCTGAACTGTGACCATACTTACATACTGCAGAGTCCTGGGATTCCAAATTTTTCCCACTCATTGTCCAGGGGATACAGGGAGATTTTTAATACTTTCCCATGTTAAAGGGCATAATTTCATTGGTCATCCACAACCTTCCAACTTTATTTTAGTTCTAATTCACATAAAAGGAGGCATGTGGTCTGGACTTCCCTTTCCATGTTGTTATTATACTTCAATCTATAATCATTTAGGCCTTTATCTAGTTTTGAAATGCCCATTAGCAGTTTTAGTTTTAGCTCCTACTCACTACTAATTTTAAATTCTTTTGTTTCTAGCACATAGGTGTTTTTCATTCTTGTTTGAAGCTTGGTTACATATTTATATTATAATGATTTCCCCTTTATTTCCCATGTTTATTGTGGGGTACAGACTTCAGATATGTTTGTGCAGTCTTTTTGTATTGTTGACACTATTACAGATGTCCTCCACTTGCTCCCCACCTTTACTCATCTCCACCCAACCCTTGCACCTCTACCTCTGGTCATCACCACACTGTTGTATGTGTCCACTAGCTATGCATATCTTTTGTGCATTCTTAATTTGCCAGAAGGACTAGAGGTCAATCCCAAAATAAGAATAATTCAAAAAGCAAGAAGGACATGAAATGATAAAAAGTCTAGTCCAGAGAGATGACCCCATATAAAATCTGATTTAAACTAAATCACTCTAAGGATATCATTCCAGAACTAAATTACTTTACTAAATTACTTCAGAAATGAACCCCAAATTCAAAAAAGTCAACCCAATAGCTAAGAAAGAAACTTTAACAATATTTTAAGCTTTACCTGTATTTATTGTCAAATTAAAATTAAACTTTCTACTTATTCTTCTGATAATTAAAAATAGTACATTTGAAGGTATATGCTACTAAAGAAGCAAACTGATAAGTATAAGTTTGTTCATATTTACTTTCACTTTGGTGATACCACAATATTGTTCTAAATTGGGACCAGTATTTTTGACAAGGACCTATGCTAATATAAATGAAAACCAGCAACAAAAATAACTAGCTATATATCTTTTTAGAATACTTATATTACGCTAGTGGCAGGCATGGCACAAAAATGCAGAATCAAACAGTGACCTTTATATAATAGTGTTCCATAAATATTTCATTAATACTACTACTACTAATAAAGCAACATACGTTGGAAGATGCTTGGTGTGTCTGGTATATTTTCTCTTGTTTGTGCAGAAGTTTCTGGCTGAGGTATAGGAACTCTACAAAAGATGAAATGAGAATAACCAATAGTTATAAAGAGACTTGAATAGAAAAATTAATTGGTCCATTCAGAATTTTTTCTAGTTCAATAAATTTAGAAAATATGTAGGTTTATTTTCTTAAAATGATGCATTAAAATGTAAGAACGATACATTCAAGTGATGAACAAATATCCATATACTGTATAACAATTCAAATACTGCAATGGATTGAAATATTCTTTTAAGGATTATTCCACAAAAGGAAGTATTCAATTTTATTAAATATCAACTAAAGATAGATATATACTTCATATGATAGGAATTTAAAAATTAGTTCTATGGCCTATTTTCATGTTTGCTTTGTTCAAATATTCTAGAAAACTATTTGGCCTAACTCTCCAATATTTATGCTTTTCTTTCTGCCCCTTTTCCTTTGCTTAACTCTTATCCTTCAACATTTACCTCAGGCATTATCCTATATAATAAAAGCCTAATATGCTAAGTGTCCAGTCATCCTGTGACTGGTTGACTGCTCAACCAATCAAAGCATAATATGCTAATGATATGCTACGGCTGCTCAACCACTTGCTATGATGTGCATTGACCACCAGGGGGTAGATGCTCTGACCAGTAGGTTAGCTTGCTGCTGGGATCTGGCCGATCAGGACTGAGTCAGATGAGCCAGACATGCCCTGGAACCCTCCCTGGTCCCTCCCTGGCCCTGATCATGCACTGGTGGGGTTTCTCGGTCTGGCCTCTGCCCTTTCGCAACCCAGGACCCCTCGGGGGATGTCAGAGAGCTGATTTTGGCCCGATCCTGCAGGCCACTCCCTTTGGGAAGGCGCCAGACACAGGCTCATGGCTGGCGAGCACTGCTGTGGTGACACGAGCCTCTCCCAAACGGGACTGATTAGGCATAAGCGCGTGGCAGGTGCAGTGGGGCTGGGATGAGTGGGAACGGCAGGTAGGAGCTGTAGTCAGTACTGGACTACGGGTTTTGGTCTGATCCCCACAGGCCACCCTGAGGGAGACCCCACTCATGCACAAATTTGTGTACCAGGCCTCTAGTTTCCTATAAGAAGCTATGCTTGATCTCTAGTCAAGGCTCACTGCTCCTTGTGTATCCTCTCATAGCATCATGAAAAAACTTCTATTATAGTATTCATCACACTATATTAAAATTAGTTTATAGGTTTGTCTCTTCCACCTGATTCTCTTATAAGTTCTGCTTAAAGTGTTACAAAAGTATAAACTTCATTTTATTTATTTTTGTATCACCACATATTATCTTCTCACTGTTTATTGAACTGAAATGAAATGAATGGAGGAAAGGGGAAGCATTTTATTTTGAAGCTGAGGAGAAGCCTACTTTTATAAGGAAATATTCCCACCTTATGGGTTTTTAGCATATTTCTGTGATCAGATTTTTCTATTGTATTTCCAAAACTAAAAGCATGAAAATCAGAATAGTCATGTGGTAGAATGCCACATAATCAACTAAAGATGAATATATACTTCATATGATAGGAATTTAAAAAGTAATTCTATGGCCTCTTTTATAATGTCAAGTTATTAATGAACTAAAAAGAACTCATTTTCATGAAAGAAGACCTATCTTATATAATAAAAGGTTAATATTCAAATTGGCCCCTTGACCAGGAGTTCGACTGGGAGTTTGACCAGGGGGTGGGGCTGGCTGGCCAACTGCCTGCAGCCCCTCCCCTCAGCTGGCCCTGTCCCAAATCACCCCCACCCCAATTGGTGCAGGCCGGCCAGACCTCACCAATGCACAAATTCGTGCACTGGGCCTCTAGTCTACTTATATAAAAACATGGGTGGTGTTCATCACATCCAGAAGAACCGCTGCGACCAAGCAGAAGTCAATCCTGCAGGGGTTGTCTTGGCAACGGCTGTGCCCTCCCCCAAGCTGTTTCCTGGAGATGTTTCCTGTAAGGGCAGGGTTTGAGGCAGGAACCCGCCCTGGGAGCATGGAGGCAGAACTTTCTAAAGTGTGCCACATGCCAGCACGGCCAGGGGTGAACCTGAGTGGGGGCGGCTGAAAGGCTTAGAAAAGACAGACAAGAGAATGAAAGCCAGGTTTCAGTGGGATGCTGCTTCTCTGAGAGACAGCGACCACGCCCACAGCCATGCCTTTATTTTATAGCAGATGCTACCAGGCAAAGTAAGGGCGTGACCAAGATGTTTACAACATTCTCCTGGGTTTCAATTCTACTCAACTACATGCACCTGAACTCTATCAAGCCTACATCACTCAGGCACGTGGGGCCACATGTTCGGACCACAGGTTCAAGCTTACAACTACAGCTGTTGGCTATAATTGTGCTGGGAGGGCCCTGCCCTCCAAGCTGGGACTTGCACGTGGCAATGAGAGGACTGTGCCCTCTCCTCAGTCCAAGGCTTGAACCTGTCCAAAACACTGTAGCAGCTCCCCACAATAAAATTTTAATTCTGTTTCTTTGTTACTAATGTTGTGGCCCCACCCCATAACAAAGAAACAATTTCCGGAGGATGAGGCCCAGGAATCAGGATTTTAAAAATATTCCCAGGTGATTCTAATGTGCAGCCAAGTTAGAGAACCACTGCTATAGATAACATTAAAAATATATCTAAACGTGCAATTCTTTGTCCAAAAAATGAGCATGTTCAAAAATTAAATGAAGAAAATTTGGATATACTCGATGGAGATATTCACACATATTTAAGTGATGATTCCATTGATTCCACAGATGATGCTGAAAAGGAAAAATTTCCCATCGAATTTCTTAATAGTATTACTCCTTTGGGAATGCCGTGTCATAAATTAAAATTGAAAGTGGGTGCAATCATCATGCTATTGAGAAATCTCAATAGTAAATGGGGTCTTTGTAATGGTACCAGATTTATTATCAAAAGATTACGACCTAACATTATCAAAGCTGAAGTATTACACTTGGAGTGCGGGAAACGAGTTAAGTCGGCTCGCATGAATTGCGCGTACTCCGCGGGAGCCGTCTTTAACTCGGTTCATATAGATTTGCAGTGGAGTGCGGGAAACGTGTAAACTCGGGCCGATTGTAACTGCGTATTACCAAATATTTGTTTGTAATCCACCCTTTTGGTGGATGGAACAAAACCAAAAGACAGAGCCATCTTATATTTTGGCGGGAAATTCACCCGCACTCCAAGTGTTAATAGGATCTGCAGAGAGAGAGGCTGTTCTGATTCCAAGAATTAATTTGTCCCCATCTGACACTGGCCTCCCTTTTAAATTGATTTGACGACAGTTTCCCATGATGCCAGCATTTGTGATGACTGCTAATAAATCACAAGGACAAACTCTAGACAAAGTAGGCATATTCCTAACTGAACCCGTTTTTTCACATGGTCTGTTATATGTTGCTTTCTCTCGAGTTTGAAGAGCATGTGATGTTACAGGTAAAGTTCTAAATACTTCATCACAAGGGAAATTAGTCAAACACTCTGAAAGTGTTTTCACTCTTTTTTTAAAATATATATTTTATTGATTTTTTACAGAGAGGAAGGGAGAGGGATAGAGTTAGAAACATCGATGAGAGAGAAACATCGATCAGCTGCCTCCTGCACACCCCCTACTGGGGATGTGCCCGCAACCAGGGTACATGCCCTTGACCAGAATCGAATCTGGGACCCTTCAGTCTGCAGGCTGACGCTCTATCCACTGAGCCAAACTGGTTAGGGCTGTTTTCACTCTTAATGTAGTGTACAGGGAGATATTAGAATAAGTTTAATCACTTTATCAGTCATTGTTTACATCACTTTTGTTATTATATCATGTTTTTGTTGTTTTCATATCATGTTTTTGTCGTTTTTATATCATGCCTCTGTTGTTGTTATATCCTTTTGTTGCTGTTTATTTATTAATAAATTTATATATTATTTTAATATACATTTAACTAATTTTCTTTCATCTCTCACAATTCTATTATAGAGAAAGGGCAAATAGCAATATTAAAATATCTCTGCTAATTAATTCCCTTTTTAAAAAAATATATTTTATTGATTTTTTACAGAGAGGAAGAGAGAGGGATAGAAAGTTAGAAACATCGACGAGAGAGAAACATTGATCAGCTGCCTCCTGCACACTCCCCACTGGGGCTGTGCCCGCAACCAAGGTACATGCCCTTGACCAGAATGGAACCCATGACCCTTGAGTCCGCAGGCTGATGCTCTATCCACTGAGCCAAACTGGTTAGGGCAATTAATTCCCTTTTAATGTGCACGAATTTCGTGCACCGGGCTACTAGTTTAACTATAAAACTCTAGCACATGAAAACATATTTTATAGTTGTAGTTTAATTTTTCTATTTTTGAAATATTGTATTTCCAGAAATTAGTAAACTGAAAACATCAATTCAGAGAGAAATGTAAATAACTAAAAATAGTTAAATTACACGTATTTTGAAATCCTTAAACAGCATGTATATTCTTTTTAATACATGTGATTAAAAATAATATATTCATCTGAAATAAATTGGAAGTAATAGTTCCCAATATGAAACAGCATAATGATATTGTACAGAATTTTACAAAGTGGCTTAGGAGATTTTTCCTGGAATATGTAGTCATTTGTTTCTATGACTTAAATTTCTTAAAGGTGCTAAATGACAGAATGGAGTATAAAATGTCTATGGGTATCAACTGAGGAAATTGAAAAAAGAGAGATAAAAATAAAAAGATAGAAATATTGAAGGATAACTGAGCACAGATAAGAAGGCAAAAAGGAGAGAAGATAAAGACACATATGATGGATAGTGGCAGAATATTATAAAAATTATGTCAAAGGCTATAAGTTGTACTCTAATCTTGCTCTTTTCACTAACATATTGACCTTAGATAAAAGTCATATAGATTCTATTATATGTCACTCCCTAATTTATATAACCAGATTATAATTAATATTATTATAGTCTTATAAAGTATCTTTCATGCAAAGAAATTAAAAGTATGTAATATACATACACACATGCTTAATTACCATA